GTCCGATTTGAGCTCAAGTTGGATGAGTTACGCATAGTAAATCGTAGGTATTATAAGGCTAATAAATGACGAATTTCCCCTGTTTATTGAAGTCACACTCCTTCCCTTTATCTACTCCTGATATATATATAGATAATATAGATGATATATAATATCCTATATTATCTTACTCCTGATAATATGTAAGCAGTATTATATATATATATATAGTATTTATGTAAGCAGTATTGGATATTTAAATTCACATGTATCTTCTAAATAGAATAAAATGAGAATGACACTGACAGCATGTTGACACTCTAATTTTTCTTATTTATTTTTCAGTATCAGAGGATTGGATCCTCTTGTTTGTTTATTTGCCAAAATTGCAGACAGTGATCAGGTACAGTACAGATTGAGCACATGCCTAGTATGTTTAATCAAAAAAGATATATTAGTTACTCTGATTGATGTAAACATAGTTATTGACACCACGAGAATAAGATTAAGCCTATTGAGGGCTCATTGTCCTCGTAGTCTAGCTTTCCATTTCTAAGCATTTCTGAAATGTATTCTGGGTATATAACAGTTTGCTAGATATCTCTCTCGTCACTAGTCGTTTGGAAAACATTTATGTTTCACATAAAATTACAGTAAATGTTACATCTTCTCTTACTGTATAACAGACGCAAGCATTCATAGAAAACCATGCAATAAATAGAGCAACTGCAGCAGGGTATGGGAGCATTGCTGTCTCAACAGATCCTAATCCAGGTAAGGATAAATTTACTGACACAAATTGCCCTATCATAACATAACATAAACATCTTGATGAAATATCCATTGTTGTTCCATTATTCTAGGATAACCTTAGCTACTAACCATCTTTCTCTTTATGTAGGCAATTCTCATCTGATAAAAAAAATCTGCATTTTTGAACTTATTATCATTGTATTTTACCCTGTACACTCCCACCAACTTTGAAATGCTTGAATACTGAGAGAAAAAGATCATCTAAGCATGACCTTATTAAATCTTATTTTACCGTCATATTCAGAGGACAGATTAACAGATGCAGGGACAACCTCATCAACACAGCAAACTTCCATTTCAAAGTTATCTGCAGAGGAGCTTGTAAAAGTGAGACCCACTTTCGTTACATCTTGGTCTACCTTCTGTAAATTTAGACTGTGGAACTGTATCGTATGATACCTAATTATTATTATTATTATTAAATCTTTATTGCATGTAGTTCAAATACAAGTACATGTACTGAGGACAGTCTTTTTCATGGAGAACAAATCTGATAAATGCAATAGTGTTGAGCAGTTAAAATAATAAAATTTCTGAGTGATACAGTACAAAACAGTGCTATACAATATAAAGAAAAAATATATAGAAGAAAAAAAAACTTCAGCATATTCTGTACAAGTAAAGTGATACCTATTGCATGTGTGCTCCTTTCTGAAAGTTGTTCATTCAGTTCCCTAGCCGCGATCTCTTTGTAAATACCATTTAACGTCGATGCATTCCGAAGTAGTAATTGGTAATTGATAGTGTGCATTCTGTAATCCTAACCATAATCAGCTGTTCGAAATAAGGAAACAATTTTGCTTGTGCGACGGACAAGCTACAATATATTTTTGCTTGTCCTGCAAAATGTTTGCTTGTCCTGATTAATAACATAGAAATGTAGTAAATGTGTAATACATTTAATTAAATTAAATTTTAGACCCAATATCTTACTCTGAAATTTTAATACAGTTCACTAACAGTTCAAATTAGGCACCAAACTTGAAAGAACATAAAGAAGCACAATTATTTATTTTAAGTTATTACTTGTCTTAACAAAGTTGAGGCGATGGTAGAAAATGATGAAAAATTGCTCTAAAAACCTGCTTGTCCAGCAGACAAGCTACTGGATAGGTGGTCTACTTGTCCTCCGTGGAAATGGACAAGTGAGGACAAACGGATAGCCCTTATTTCGAACACTGATAATGTAGTGGATGTTGCAAAGCTCACTCACTATATTATTGTAATACATTGAAATTATGATGAATATAGTATATAAATTTATCGTTCCAACACTTTTGTCGTTTTCAATGGATGTCACAACGTTGTTCATTTGTATGTCCAGATGGGATGCAAATATAGATATAACATAGTGTGTTCACTTAATTATTGGTGTACGGTTGCGTTTAATTCAGCTGAAGGAGTCGTTGCACAAGCAGCTTGGCTCGGGGCTACACGTACCATCGGAGACGGTACAGCGCCTCACCCGACCACAGGCGAAAAAAGGTCAGCGATGAAAACTCGCTCGAACAGAGTTCTAGCACTTAATGTTCACATTTGAGATGTTCAACTGAAATTTAAGGGGACATAGGAAAGTGTGTAGCACCAAGAAGTAGCAGCTGGTGATTTTTGGTATTTGGCACAAAAATTAGTGTCTGTCATGTTATAATACAAGGTCAGAAAACTGTAACGTAGCATTGGACCAACTTGTACCAAAGCTGTACGGCAAAGGTTTTAATCTGATAATACTTCACCTGACAGAAGCACTTAGTTTACTAATGATAATGTTTAATATATAAATAAAAGGGTCAGATTTATGTTCATTGCACAGCTTTATTGTGTGCACGTGTTTGTGATTGTTACAGTGAATCCCACGATACCTGTAGAACCAGAATGGTTTAACAGACCAAATCTGACCAACGACTTTGTCATGCCACGTAATCGTCATCAGCAGGAGGTGAGGAAGTACAGAGTGATCGACCGTTCTATGTGTGATAATCTCCACCCAATAATACGCGATGAAGATAGTATTGCCATCTGCTGTAAAAGTCAAAATTTTATCAATTAGTTCATTGATTGAGTCTTGCCACTGCCATTTGTTGCTAGGTATAAATGATAGTGCTTGTATGTAAATGCATATGTTAATATCCCTGTATTATAGCTTTACATCTTTTTTATTGCTCACAGATCACCCCAATAGGCAGTCTACCCACTTCTGCACAGGAGCTGTTGATCATATCAGACCTCTTGTTCTGTATGCAGGTATGAATCCCATAGCTGTATACACACGGTGTTAAATCTTCAGATAGTTACAGCTACAGTAAATGGTGCATTGCCATGGGAGGAAGGTGACACAGTGTGGCTAGGATTCGTGCTTAACCTGAGGTTAAGAATAACTGTTTTTATGACTGCTACTTTGTTGAGCTGCACATACAGTAAGACTGATGTTTATGATGCATGTAGTCTTTAACACATTTTGTCATTTTTGCAGTATCAGATAATGTACTAGCAATTGTAATTATAGTCAATTAGAGATGACAGAGAGACAGTTTATACCTGTCTTTACGAAGCATACTGCATGCTTAGCCAATTACTGATTCATAATTCAACTGAGTCACATAAATTTCTGCTCTCTAAACAATCACATCGTTTGAAAGTGCAATACTGCAGCTGCTCTTATATTATTTTGTGGATTTACTAGTTTATATTATATTCTTATAGTGGTAACAAATTTGAGATTCACCTCATTTGTGTTTAAATTTTATGATAGGTTTGATGTCGGCAACAATTTAGTATCTATATGATACCGTTTTAATGTTTTGTAGTTATTTCTTAGCATCGTCACTACATCGCAGTACTGAGTCCATCTTGTATCAAATGTCCTAGTGATTATAACCGCTGCGTGTACATATAAATATAAAATGCTGGCATAATTTAGTCTCACCAGTATTAGGAAATTTTGTAAAATTCGTAAAGATACATTTTTCTCAATCCAGGGCATTCCTGGACAGTACGTCACACTCGATAAAAAGTCAGAAGACTCTTGGACATTCTCGGTTGATGAGTCATTGGGTATGTAATATCAACATATCTCTCTGTTTGCATCCAAATAAGGTTATACTATGTATACTAATACTAATAATAATATTAACAGGAGTAGATAATAGAAGAGAATCTTCTATTATCTACTCCTGATATTAATATATGTTTTAACTAATATGTTACCTCCAAAATGAAATTCATAATTGTAAATAATGTAATTTGAATTGAATTGAATTGAATTATACCAAGATTGAAAGATAACAGCTGTTTACTAATTGTTTCAATTAATTGCACTTGGTAGTGTGCATATTATAATGCACAGGCAACTTGTATATGTAAACTTTATAAATGTATATAAATAATGTTTGTGTTATATATGATAAAGTTAGACTTATATATGATACTATGAACTTTTTTATTCAAATATCACAATGCCTTTGGTATCCATTTATTGTTAGTTAATGGAGGTAGCATACTGGACAACAATGAAGATGTTTCGACCAAATACTGAGTACATTGCTATATTTGCAGATATTTCTCTGAAAGTGCTAACGAAACGAATTCTTCCTCTATGCTCAAACTTTTCGACAGTAGCCAGGTTCATTGAATGTAAGTAGTCGGTCACAGCTTGACTCCAATACCATTATAATGATATTTCTATGCCACTTTTGTAACCTTTCAGTTTTGCATAGCAACTGTCGCATTTTATCAATACTACTTTGTGGCTAGGACGTGATAATTCTGTTCCTAATAGAACTTTATACAGGTTTACAATTGGAAGGTTTCCTAATGAAATATTTCAAAGTGTTTCTTGTGAATTTTCTTTACGTTTTGTTCGGACAAATCTTGACGGTTGTGTTCTGCCTCCTTTGTAGCCAAGTCGGTGTTTGTCTGTGGTATGGTGAATCATGCTCTATGCGCTGCCATGAGAGAAGTTATCAAGGTATTTGATGTATCCAGTACAATGCAGGGCACGAAATTCAGATTTTTTTGCACCGGCCCAGAAGGCTGGTAACAGCAATTTTTTACCAGCCCTCACAAATTTTACCAGCCCTCACAAATTTTGTTTGAAAATCAATGTCAGGTTTCACGCTTGCATTTTCGATTTCAAATTTATAAAATGTTAACTAATTATGGTGTGATATCCTTCAGGTAAATATCCAGATTTCCAACAGTAATATAGGCTATTTGCTCATAATAAATGCTATAAATAAAAATGTAGGTACTCGCTAACACGGCTGAAACCACCAGCTCGGAGGGTCGGTGTTTTGCCAATGTTACGGGCTCTCCAAATAATTTGCCAGCATATGCCGGTGGGCCAGTGCTAATTTCGCGCCCTGCAATGACAGTCGCCTTGCCATTATCACTGCTAGCATCCTTAGTTGATGTGTGGCCGCAATACTTAGTTGCCATGATTACGAGAGGTATGATCAGCATCTCGCTAATTTATTTCTTTTTAATATGAACGTGTGTACGGTGACGTAGCACGTTTGAAGCAATAATAGAGTAAATTTATGCGCGAGTATATTTCCCGTACACAAATGTGTGGGTGTGTGTGCATGCTAACGGTTTAGACAGTCAGTTAGTTAACAGAATTGTGCCTCTTGGATGATATTCTTGAGTGTGGGAAATATATGATGACAATAAGGCTTCCAAGTGAGCAACTGTACATAGTCGTCTTATAGTAGTTTGACTAGAAGGCTCGTTCATACAGTTTCGGAGTGCAGCTTTTATGCCTTTAACACACTTTTCTTATTGAATATCACAGTAGCAGACAATAGGACTCAATACTGACCGCTTTCTATTTTAGAATTACTTCGTGAACATTTGTCAGCTGGAACATCAATTAAAACTGGTAGGTGATTCATTATTCGTATGTACATGTATGTATATAACTTACATTAGCATACATATATGTGCATAACTAACAATAGCATACATGTATGTGCATAACTAACAATAGGCCAATAACATGTATGTGCATAACTAGACAATAGCATACATGTTTGTGCATAACTAACATTAGCATACATGTATGTGCATAACTAACAATACCATACATGTATGTGCATAACTAACAATATCATACATGTATGTGAATAACTAACATTAGCATACATGTATGTACATAACTAACAATAGCATACATGTATGTACATAACTAACAATAGCATACATGTATGTATATAACTAACATTAGCATACATGTATGTACATACCTACCAATAGCATACATGTATCTAACAATAGCATACATGTGTGTGCATAACTAACAATAGCATACATGTATGTGCATAACTAACATTAGTGCATCACGGGATAAATCGTTGAAATTCCATTGGATAACGTCGCAGGTACTATGAGGGCACTATTGCTGCGCAGACGCATTGTTATTATAACGCATTGTGTTCAGTCACGAATCTCCTGCGTCTGGGCGCCGACGAGAGTTTCGAATTAATGGCGGTTGTTGTTTGTGTTGAGCGTTTTGTTACATCGAAATGCCACGGCAAATTAGGGAGTATAAAGAAGGTATATAAGCGATGAAAATTAAACAGAAACACTAATTGTATTTTCATACATTTTTTTTGTAACAAATAACACACAAAATATTACTTGCTGGTGCTAGAAATTCGTGAACGTAGACAGTTTAATACAAATTGAAATTGTTCGTTTAAGAAACTTTGTCTATTCACTTGCCAAGTAGATATTTGCCAAGTAGATTGCAAAGTCATGTGATGCACTAAAAACATTAATGCTGTGTGTTGGGGGCACTATGCTGTCATAGTGTTGCTTTGCGGAGGGAATAGTGCCCTCGCTACCCGCTCGGGGCACTAATACTTCCATCAGCAACACTATGAGAGCATAGTGCCCCCAACAACAGGCATTAATATATAAATAGCATACATGTATGTACATAACTAACAATAGCATACATGTATGTGCATAACTCTCTTTCTTGCGCAGTATCTTCTGTGGCTCCGTGGCTAGTCAATCGTTTGTAGTGGTAGCATCCTGCGTTATGTCCGCAAACCCGGTTCGATCCTGGTCACGGCGCCAACAATGTAACGAGGATGATGACGTTACCTGTTTCAAAGTAGATTTGTTGTAGAGATGAAAGAAAACTCCAAAGTCAAGCAGTTGTGCAGTGGTGTTAGAAAATAGTATTCTTGTTTCTCAAAACACCCCCGTGCGTGCGCACAGAGGCACGCATCCACGCGACCCGCACACTCGTCCGTTCCTTTCAACCAAAAACCTTCCATTTATACATTTCTAGCTAACAAAGAAATCAGTCGCAGTGCGCGCGACAACCACACACCACTGCCCAATGCACAACAAACTGACTCTCGACCGTTTCTCATCTCCATCATCCATACTACATCAAACGCGCTGCTGCCGACTAACCCATTATGCAACCACCGTCGCGACATTTCTAATCACCCAACTACTATTTGTAAGATCTGCAAACCACACTTTACAATAGCATACATGTATGTACATAACTAACAATAGCATACATGTATGTACATAACTAACAATAGCATACATGTATGTGCATAACTAACAATAGCATACATGTATGTACATAACTAACAATAGCATACATGTATGTACATAACTAACAATTAGCATACATGTATGTACATAACTAAACAATAGCATAACATGTATGTACATAAGCGTAACAATAGCCACATGTATGTATATAACTAACAATAGCATACATGTATGTACATAACTACATAGCATACATTATTAATAACTAACAATAGCATACATGTATGTACATAACTAACAATAGCATACATGTATGCTATTAACTAACAATAGAACACATGATATGTACATAACTAACAATAGCATACATGTATGTGCATAACTAACAATAGCATACATGTATGTACATAACTAACAATAGCAATACATGTATGTAGCATAACTAACAATAGCATACATGTATGTACATAACTAACAATAAGCATACATGTATGTATATAACTAACATTAGCATACATTGTATTTACATAACTAACAATAGCATACATGTATGTACATAACTAACAATAGCATAACATGTATGTATATAACTAACAATAGCATACATGTATGTACATAACTAACAATAGCATACATGTATGTACAAAATAACAATAGCATACATGTATGTGCATAACTAACAATAGCATACATGTATGTTACATAACTAACAATGAGCATACATGTATGTACATAACTAACAATAGCATACATGTATGTATATAACTAACATTAGCATACATGTATGTAATAACTAACAATAGCATACATGTATGTATATAACTACAAAGACATACATGTATGTACATAACTAAATAGCATACATATATGTAATAACTAACAATAGCATACATGTATGTACATAACTAAGTGTCTAACATTAGCATACATGTATCTAACAATAGCATACATGTATGTGCATAACTATCAATAGCATACATGTATGTACATAACTAACAATAGCATACATGTATGTACATAACTAACAATAGCATACATGTATGTACATAACTAACAATAGCATATATGTATGTACATAACTAACGCTCATAGGGTCTATGTCCCCCAGGGTACTGCCGGAACGTACCCTGGTAACTATTTTATATGGTTAGGGTTAGGGAGTAGGCGTAGGCGACTCCCTAGACTCGTTAGTGGAGTAGGCGAGATCTGGTCCGGCATTTTAGATAGTACCAGGGTACGTTCCGGCAGTACCCTGGGGGACATAGACCTTCTCAGCATAACTAACATTAGCATGCATGTATCTAACAATAGCATACATGTATGTACATAACTAACAATAGCATACATGATGTACATAACTAACGTTAGCATATATGTATCTAACAATAGCATACATGTATGTGCATAACTAACATTAGCATATATGTATATACATAACTAACAATAGCATATATGTATATACATAACTAACAATAGCATACATGCATGTATGTACATAACTAACAATAGCATACATGTATGTACATAACTAACGTTAGCTTACATGTATGTACATAACTACTTGTTTATTGTCCTGAAGAGAAGTACATGTATACATTACTGCGAGTAGCATTTTTGACTATATTCGTCATTTATTTGCTGAAAAAGACCGGAAAACTCTCAGTGCTATCATAATTGATATCATCTTGTTAAAATCCATGACAGTCTGCATATGGAGCTAGCCCAATGTATGTGTGCTTGCATGTGCATGTGAGTGTGTGTGTGTGTGCGTGTGCGGAGTGCGGTGTGCGTGTGCGTGTGCGTGTGCGTGTGCGTGTGCGTGTGCGTGTGCGTGTGCGTGTGTGCGTACGTGTGTGCGTGCATGTGTGTGTCGGTGTCGGTGCGAGCAAGCACTAGGTTTTCTGCAAGCCCTTTTTTGTGCCAGTATATCTACCTATGTAAAATTAGTAGCTGCAAGATTCCCATTGCATTAGTTGGGCAGATAAGCGTCTATGTCCCCTTGACCTCTGTTTGACCTCGCTCGTTTAGCTATATTCTGACTAATATATATATATATATATAATATATAATATATAGGGTTAGGGTTAGGTTAGGGTTAGGATTAGGGTTAGGGTTAGGTTAGTCAGAATAGCTAAACGAGCGAGGTCAAACAGAGTCAGGGGGAGAATAGACCCTACGAGCTGTAGTTGGAGAAACCCGTTTTTCCAGTGTTTCCAATTTTTTTTCTTCTAATAACTTTAACGTTTACTTAATTTTATACTATGCACTATTAGTAAACCCATTGGTTGTTTTCATAGTTAGTCTCCTCTTTTTTACTTTACGTTTATTATAGGCGCGATGCTCACTCTCCACAAGCTGTTGGTTCTTCGTGGCAGCCTGCTCAGAGGTCATGGAGGTCATGGCCATGCATTGCGACGGCAATCAACAAGGCAAGTTGAACAGGTTTAATAAATTAGTTCTCATGGGTTAAAAAAACAACAACTAGAGTAGAATTTGTTAGCACCAGGTGTCTGGCTGATGGAACGTGAACATGCTAAGTTGGCTCAACTATTCGTGTACTGTAATAAGGATATATTACAGCTGAAGCTGTAGAGATACAAGATTGCGATGATGTGAGCAGATTTCGCTGCAAAATTTCCTGTCCATTTTATTTCTGTAACGTTTGCGATGATGGTGCGAAAATTTGTGCATACATGTCTGCAGTGATTTCATTTGTTTTAGCAGGCGATGACTAGTTCTGAGTTATCTGTCTTTATCGTTTTAGGTCAAGTAAAGTGGAGCAGTCCTCAGTCTCCTTCATGAAAGAACAGTTGAACGACCGGGTAAATACATCTAATTTCGTTCCAATACATAGTTGAAATAGAAAGTGCGGCAGGTGTGTGTTTTGCGTTGTGAGGTTTCTAGTGATTACTATCAAGTGAAATTGCACTAGTTATTGTAGAGTTATTACGTGTGAATTCCAATATGGCCGCGATAACGAAACATTGAAGTATTACTATCTTGGGTTCTAAATTACTGTGGCGCTGAAATTTAGTACCAAGGGCATTTCGTCATGCAGTGGTTATAATAATGAATTAATTTGAAATGTTGACAAACGCATATGCAGCCATTTTAAATTCCAATATGGCCACATGAAAAAAATTGAACATTACTATCTTGGTTCTAAATGACATGTGGCGCTTTATATTTGGTACACAAGAGCATTTGACATGCTGAGTTCAATAACGGATTGATTTGACATGTCTGACAAACCCATATGGCAGCATTTGAATTCCAGTATGGCGACATGACGAAAACATTGAACATTACTTATCTTGGGTTCTCAAATGACTTGCGGCGGCTGAAATTTGGTACACAAAGAGCATTTTGCCATGCTGAGTTCAATAATGAATTGATTTGACATGTCTGACAACCATATGGCAGCCATCTTAAATCCAGTATGGCCGACCTGACGAAATGCTGAAATCTTAGGTTCTAAAATCACGTAAGCACTGAAACTTGAAAACTCAAGGAATATTTTTATATGCTGATTCAATTGTTTAATAGAGCGAAGCAAAAGCCTATTCCAAAATATTTTTCCTCACCAATTGAAAGCTGTAACATGCCGCAAGACGTTTCCAATCCATTTTACTTCTCCTGTTGCTCATCTGGGAAGCATTGAGCAAAAAACACAGTTTCTTGCATGGTAGATTAGCTGCGGAACATTTGCAATTTCCAGCACACCGTTTCTTACATTTGCACTTGATCAGCTCTCGGCACCGCCTTTTGAGGCCTCTGCCATTATTGTTCAAAATGGAACGCCAGCCATCATCAGCATTTTTCGCGCCATCCCAATCTGCAGGTGAAGGCAGCTCTGGTTTGCAATTTGAGACTGTCCCCAGATGTGACCAGCTGAAAGACTGCCCTCTTCATATGTTGACGCAGTGACTCCTTTGTTGGTGGAATGTTTTCGCAATTGCCGATTTCCCTGAGCCAAACAGCTGCTGTCCGTGCTTCTCTTTACTTTCTTCAGAGGCGAAGTTCTACTGTACAGAGCACGAAGAACGCTCTCTATGTTGTTTCATACATCTTTGTTACTTCAGCTGGTGCATGTGAGAGATGATTGAAGTCCTCCTTCAAGTTAGGCATGGAATTCCATAATATTCCACCGGATCCTTTTGCCAATCCCAGATATGGCAGAAACAGTATCTCATCGGGAAAGCAGCGTGCAGGAACAAAAGGCCCCATGAGCGTTCAGGGCCATGTGATCGCAATAGCGTGAGCAGCTAATGTGCCTGAAATTGTTTCCATGTCCAAATGCCAACAGCACATTGCACAGTCGTTCCATAACGCTTGCCCATCGCGATCGCCAACACAACCACATCGTGTCCGTTGCATGAATTACTATACTTCTGTGCCTCCGTGATATGCATGCCAAGCATGTAGCAACATGCGTGAATCAGCCTCTATCATGCGTACATGGTTAATTTGAGAAACATCGAATGGGGCTTTGATTTACCTCTTCTTCATTGGTTGTTTAGAAGTATTTTCCCTTCTGGAACAGCCATCGTTTGGCAGAACATACCAGGAGGAAACTGAATAGTGTCTTTTTGTTGGAATCTACACGAAGGAAGGCTGCTCCAGTTTCGTGTGACGGATGGGAT